TCCCCCCCCCCCCCTCCCCACCGGGGCTTCACCTTTATATTTCATCTTCTCTTTAGAAATATTAGATTCAGAATTCTTTCATAGTCCCACATAATGATGTTGCATCAAATATATATATATATATATATATATATTGCATGCATGCAATACTAAGAACAGGAAACGATGGCCTTTCTTTATATTTACTTTTTATCTTTTCTCAGTGCATCAATGCTATTCCAGTGCCACCAAAAGGTACTAAAATCCTAGATACAGCTCCTTAAACAAATAGTAATGGTGGAACAGAACAATGGCCTAGTAGAGCCTACTATCTCTGAATTCATACTAAATTAAGCGGCCAATTCAACTCTTCAATTTCAAATAGCAGGCAACAGTTACTGACAGTGGCTTATTATTGTCAGCTATCCCACAAGGCGCTCGACACTATAATAGCATGTGGTCTGTGCCTATATAAATGGAAATGCAGATTATCAATTAGCTGTTAATCCTAATCACTTTTACATATTTGATATATTCACCTTGCTAAATATTTATTTGACTAAAATAGTTACTTGGTACATTAGTACTATGTTCAAAATATCTTATGGCAGTTTTCACCTAGGTGATATACCATTGTTATTAAGCTTTTCACCGACTCTAGAGATCTCTATCCTATACTTCACATAAGCAAACGTTCGCGTATGAACTCCAAAAATATTCAGATTCATAGATGCATAGTTGTACTTACACAGTGTGGAATTTAAATAGAGAATTTAGAGTCAGCAAGCAATCTTTCCCCTTCTTAAAATTGTAAGATATATACACATTCTAGTATTCTGCTCATGTTTTATCAGAGAAAACTCAACCATCAATCATTTAGTGACCTCAAGTGAAAAATAAAAAAAATAAAAAATAAAAAATAAATGTCAAATTAAGGAACAACATGAAAATGAGGTAAGGTAATAACAAAAGTTCATAAATGCATGTCGAAGAAGAAGCAACTCCAAATACCTTTCCAACATAAGGGGCAATAAGCCATGCAAGAGTAACAGTCAGAAGGCCTGTAGCAAGCAAGATCCCAGTGCCTTCTACAGCCCATTTGGTTGCAGTATTTTCTGCAGCGGCACCTTCTTCCATGACCATATTAGTAGAAGGTGGTTCACTAACCACCTGGGACACAGTGGAAGAGTTGCTGTGAGGATTAAACCACAATGAAATTTCACTTAGCCTTTGTCTTCGAATTGCAGCAACAGCAACGGGATCTACACCAAAATTTGTTGCCAGTGGTGCAGGATTAGGCTCCCCATTCACAATCCTTTCCCTTGAAACTTCATACTCCTTCAAAGCACTCAAGACTTTTTTAAAGTCTGCAGATCTTATGTTTTTTGCCACAGAACCACAAATTTCACAGACGGTTGATCCATGGTTGATAAACCACTTCAGTGCACAAGCATAATGTGCTAGAGCAAGGTCGCTTTTGCAAGCACACCCTAGCTCAACTAGCCTGTCTTGGTTGTGATCATAACCCAATTCTACATCAGTACTGCAAACAAAAACATCGCCATCCGGGCTAATAAATTCAACAAAGGTAGAACCTTTTTCATCGTTTCTGTAACCAGAATCATTTGGCACATTTTTCAACAGGACTTTGGCATTAGTATTGACCTCAAAGTTGCTATTATTTACATCACAAGATGGTGGAGAAATACCCAAAAATCCCAGTGCAGCATCGCACCCTCCATCGGATTCAACGCATTGACATACTCGACAGGTTGCCAAACCCGCCTCCTTGTCTACAATATGATGTGAGGCAGTGTAAGATATTGACTCTTCGTTCTCAATAGGTAAACAACCTTCCTTGTGGCCTTCATCAGTTTGATGTGAAGTTTTCTTATCCATCACACTGGAACTTGTGCATTTATAACATGCAGTTTGTCCGTGCCAATACCAGTACAGTGTTTCAAACAATTATGAGAATGGAGAAAATTCCTAATCACAAATATCGAGATGGAAAGCATCAATATATAGTCCGATCTAAGTGTTGAAAGTGGTAAAGGAATTATGAAATATGTATTATGTGGAACAATAGGGGATCTGTAAGATAACTGTAAAGAAGGAAACTGGCTGTTGAGGTCTATTAGGAGTGACAAACAGTACTGAGACTTGATTACTTCTAAACTTCTCCTTAATGCTATGTTGGCTGACGACCAGATGCTCTCTTACTGCATGGCTGTAAAAGGAGGAAAAAAAATAATAAGAAATATAGAGGCTGAGTCCTTTTCTTGAACCAAGCATATATGCAACGCGTAATACTATCTACCACTTGTCATCCTTTAAAGTCACATATACCAGATAAAATCAGAGAGTATCTATTCCCATCCTCCCACCACCATTCCACCTAAAGGGGAAAAAAAGATTAAAAAATTTAAAAAAAAGAAAAAAAGAAAAAAAAGAAACACAAAATGCAAGGAGGGAGCTGCATTTCAAATTCTTATACAACTATTGCAGTAAATACTGTAAAAACTTAAAATAATGGGATACAAAGTTTAAAACTAGTGAATACATCTATATGCTTAGTTCACAAAATTAATAAACAATACAACATCTACAAAAGATTATAAATTCTACTAGAAGATGATGAATCAATTCTACTGCATTCTTCTAAGTTCTAACCATCTATCGTCATTCCATTACAAAAAACATAAATCAGCAGATGGAGCGGGTGTCATGATTCATGTCATTTTCTCTAAATTCAAGAAAATCTGTTGATTTACAAGGTTTTGGGTCTGTAAATTAGGGTTAGAAGTGTCCAGATGGAAGTCTATGTTGATAACTGTGGCTTCTTATATATGCAAGCTTGCCATTTTAAATCAATATAAATTGACAGTTGCTTCCTCACACATTCTATTTGGCACAAGAAACCTATCAGTTTATACTAGCTTCAAGCACAACAGATACTTAACAGCTACCCTGCTCTCCATCTGAAGAAGCTCAAAACCCAACGTCAATGAAGAATGCGTAATTGTGTGTCCTGATATCAAATACTTCATTGCAGGCTCTACTAACTTCCACAAACCGAATATGCTCATGTTGTGCATTCATTGTGGAGGTATATGCCTCAAAGCCTGAAAGGAGATTTTTCCCTCCACCTCATCCTTGCGCAGTCTCAAATATTGCCTTTAGAGAAACCAGCCCATAAGAGCATTATAAACTCAATTCATTTCCAGCATTTTTGATAAATTGCTCATTCTATCAACAGAGAAGTGGTATATGCAGAAAAACTGAATAAACGATGTTTGTTGGTAAACCTGTAGACTTTATTGGGAATAAGTCTTATCAAAATTATATGATCCTAATATTTCACACAAAATCTTATAATCACAATGCAGTTTAGAAATGATTGGATTGGATTCAATGATTCCAGAACAGTTTCTGAAGCCGCCGAACTAAAACTACATGTGGCAACTCTTGAAAAACACGATCAACCACAAAAAGTTCCGTCTCCAATGATCGCAGTTGGTTATCAGATATCTGATATAAACAATTTATTTCCGAAAAATCCCCACAACTGATGAAAAATGAAACAAACCCATCATAGAAAAAATGTAGCAAAATGCCAGAATTATCAGGAATTAATTATAGAGAACATCAACCAAAAAATCAATCAAAGCACATACAGCAAAAAATACAAACTTTGGCACCTAGAACAATAAATTTTGCAGAGCAAACACGAAATTAAAAGCATTACAGCATATGTTTTCAAAACAGAAAATTTAACATTTTCAAAACCCTTATATTGAACCCACCGCTAAAATTAATTGAATCAAAATCATATACATAAAACGAAAGAAATAAAAATTCGAAGAAACGAACCACGGAAAATTCAGTACATACAGTAAATAGTGTGAAATGCGTAACACAGAGAGATCTAACGCTTGCTGCTCTTTAACTTCCTTCAAATTTTGGGCACCCTTCACTGTAGGTATACTTTAATTTGTTTCGAGACCTATAATGCTTTAACTTTTTGTACAGAATCTCTCCTTTTACTCTCTGTCTCTCTCAACAGTGTTTTGGGTATCATCAATCTCAGCTTTTTGTGGGTAATCGGTGATGAGTGCTGACATGGAAGCATGTGTTTCTTTTTCTTTTTCTACCATTTTAGTCGGCAAGGCTCATTTCCCAGACCAACTAAGCCCCCGCCTCATGTGTACATTGTGTAGTGCTCTAAAGCGCGCACATTTGGTTCTTATATATTTTAATTCGTTTTGAATTTTATATATTTAATTCGTTTAGAAAACACCTTTCATAGGGGGTGTATGTATAATAATGTGATCAATCTATTTCGTTCCAAAGTGTGAATGATTTTTGTATTAAAAATTGTGTCAAAATTGGCATATCAAATCTCAATCCATTTTCATAACTTAAAAAAAAAAAAAAAAAAGAAGCAAATTGAGCCCAACGGATATCAAATTAACCTAAATACTCAAGCCCATGAATAATATTGTTCACGAAATATTTTTTTCTATTTAAAATTACCGCAAGTATACGGTCGTTAACAAGTAATAAAGTGGTTCAGTTAAGTCTGAATGTTGTCCCACAGAAATTGATTGGTTTAATTTTACATATTGTAGCCTTCACAAAAAGCATGGCCTGTTTTAACAAGTGATTCAATGTGTACAGGCCATGCTTTTTGTGAACTTCAGCAAAGAGCTTGATTCTTTCCAGCAAATTTATAAGGATGTTGCTGTGCTCTACAAAAAGAAGAGTATAAGTTTTCTGCTGGGGGATCTTGAAGCCAGTGAAGGTGCCTTCCAGGTTCTCACTTTCTCCATGATCTTTATTCATTTGATTTCTATTTTTGTACAGAACGATAATATTTGACTCATAAATGTTCATGAATCTCGGTGGCAGTACTTTGGGCTTACAGTTGATCAGGCACCTCTTCTTATTACAGAGACAACGTATGGTCAGAAATATCTCAAGGCAAACATAGAACCTGATCAGATTGTACCATGGCTAAAAGATTAAATGGTAATACTTCTAGTTCTTGTTATAAACAGCGAGTCAAAAACTTTTTGGAACTTATACTGTCAACTTCTTGCCTATATTGGAAGGAGCTGTGTGTATTTTTCTCGTCTCAGTTAACTTTTGTGTATGTAATTGTGTGCCTGTCTTAAAATCAGCATAATTTGAATTTTTGGTTTTCTTTGAATGGTTACAGGATGGCCAAGTAAAGCCATTCCTAAGATCAGAGCCGATTCCCGAAGTTAACAACGAACCTGTCAAGGTGGTAGTGACTGACAGCCTTCAGGACATGGTTTTTAACTATGGAAATAATGGTTTGTACGAGAAATAAATTAATATTTCTTAGCTCATAGTTTTAGTTTATGTTTTCCTTAGTTTATATGTTCTCTGAACTCCTGATTTGATCTATACTAATCCAACTATTAATATTTACCCTTTCTTGTATTCTTATTTATGATTCCATCCAAAGCTTAATGTTTGCCCAAGACTAGGATATGTACAAATTATCTTTACTTTATGTACCAAATTTGTCTTGCCAATATGGGCAATATCGGTTCTAAAAATTGAATCCCCCTTTTTAAAGGCTTTCTTACAGGTATATCCGTAGACTAAGGTCTGAATTTAGGTTAATTCCATCATTATCATGTTGCAGTTATGCTAGAATTCTTTGCACCTTGGTGTGGACATTGCAAGCAGTTGGCTCCAATTTTGGAAGAAGTTGCCATCTCATTTGAAAATGATGCTGATGTTTTGATTGCGAAACTGGTAAAATTCTAGCTTGTTTCTTGATATAGGACTCTATTGGAGTGCCATGTGACATTACATTAGTTCAATTCAGGATCTCGGATTCATGGATGATACTATAACTTTTCAACGATATCTTGAGAGAAATGGTGGTGCATAGCATTTACTGTTTGATTGAGATCCTACAGATCAATAGATATAGCGTTGTTGTCTTTCTGATCTCATCCTAAACTACATTTGGAGACACTTTTTTATTTATTATTATTTTTTTTCATGTTTTTGGTTATGTTGCTGTGTTCATTTCTAATCATTGTCTTTTTAAGAAAATATATCTCCATATTCAACTAAATCTCTGGTACCAAGTTTCAGGATGCAACAGTAAACGATGTCCCAGTTGACACATTTGATGTTCAAGGATACCCTACTTTGTACTTCAGATCTGCTAGTGGTAACTTGTTGTCTTATGAAGGGGATAGAACAAAGAATGACATCATAGACTTTATTCAGAAGAATCGGGATAAGCCTGCCCAAGCTGACTTGGCCAAACCAGAATCTGAAAAGTCGGAAGCAGTAAAAGAAGATCCCGCTAAGGATGAACTATGATGAGGTCAACTTACTTTTTATTTTGACAATACCCTTTCACATTCTTACTGTTCCCTATTGTTCACATCATTCTTTCTCCGTCTTTCTCTTTGCGTGCAGGCTTTGCTTGAATGCTTCCCATGGGAACTCCGATGAGCTTTCTACATGGTGTAGCAAATTTAAGTTTTGTAAGCAAGTTTTTGTCTGTATGTTTGTGTATTTCGCATTTTGTTTTCAAAATAAAGGGGGCGCTTCCTAGTTCTTCTTGTAGCATTAGGCTTCGGATTTTGTCTAGCTATCTCAATAGAACAGAACAAGTTACAATCAAATTTCAGATATCTCTTCGTGGTATTGCAACCAATGACCAAAACATGCTTTTATTTCTAGCTTACTGAGTGCGTAGTACAAATGGGATATGAAACGTATTAAGTGGGTTACCCATGGTAATTCACTGGCTACAAAACCATCGAGTAGCTTTCTTTGTTATAATCTTTTGCAGGGTATTTCTGTCTGGCACTGCAGTTCCCTAAAATGTGTTTGCATAGATTCCAATGATATCACAGCCCACAAATTCTAAACTAAAATACTTCATCTTATTGAAATAGTGCCAACATGTCCCGTTTGCCACACAAATTCTGCACGATTTTAAATTTTGAAAAAAAAAAAAAAATCTAGAAGGGGTTAAATTATTATAGCTTGCTGACAAGAGATAGGAACCTGATACCAAAGAAAATTTCCTTTCTTTCTTAATAGAATCCAGTAGACCAGTACAATCTAGCTTCTTTACCAGTCAGGACTTTATTGCTCGTGCCCATTTTGACCAGCTGGGGGGTGCCTGGCGTCCCTTTTCTTACTCCATTCGTGAACCCTCAAGTGTAATTCTGCAGCAGCAATCAAGAAATGGACACACTGTAGTGGAGTCAAAATGTTGAGAATTTCTTCGAGAGTTTTCATCCTGAGTTCATCTGCCATTTGCAAGACTTCCACCAAGCCTTGCTCCTTGGGTGCCAGGGTTGTGTCGACTTGTCCCTCGTCTATCTCACCCCCTTCCCGACTGACATCTCCTCCTCTCTTTAACTCGGACACAGCATGGGACATCTCGACCATGGACGAGTCTGTAATCGTCTCCTGATGCTTTGCCTGCTTCTCACTAATCTCTCTCTCTTCCCTTATGGTTTTCCTCTGTAATTCGTCCGCCTGGCTGAGTTGACTTGGTGAAATATCTCCCAAGTCACCTGTACTGACACCTCGTATCAACTCAGAAATTTGAGCCTCGAATTGTTGGCCCGACTTTGAGTACAACAAATGAAACGCCATACTTGGCCTCCAACCTCCAATCCAGAGGAAAGCATCCTCAAGAGAGGTTGTCCAGGATGGATTGAACATGGCTAACACATTGTGTTTCGCCCACCTCTCTTTCGCCTTGTAGTAGTGCTCGTAGTGCTGCACAACACGGTGGATTAGAGGAAGCAAAACGCTCTTATCAAATTCTTCCTTGGTAATGGTTCGACCATTATTCTCAAGCTGGTCGCGCTCTTTAGAGGCGGAGACAAGTTCTTCAAGATACTGGCTTTGCTCAACAAGCCAGCACTCGAAGAATTTGTGGAAAGTCTCGCGCTCTTCCGCCCCATTACTGAGGACTTGTGCCATATATGTAGCACTGTTAGGTAACACAGACATGGGGGATTCACTATTATATACCAAATGATCAATTCTTTGGCAGATACAGACACCCTGCAAAACCACAGCCAAATACCAGCTTTTGTTGGATGGTATACTCAAGTGCACTAGCTACACTCATCTATATTATATGATGGGAATTAAGTTCTAGGGGGGTATGATGTGAATGAATTATCCAGTTTCTGGAGCAGGGTTCATTGTACCAGGTAAGATGAACTGGAAATCTGGGGAACCACCCGGTTTCAGGTTCTGAGTTTTGCACATTACATAGCTGTTGACAGTTTTTTCATTAATTTTAAGTTAAAAAATTAATTTTAATCATACATTTTAGCTAAAAAATAAAAATTAGATTAAAATTTAAATTAAAGTCAACTTTTAATTTTAATCATACATTTTATGAATTCCGCAAAATATATAGTTAAAATTAATAACTGAATTTGACTTAAAATTAAAATTAAAAGCTGCCTTCTTTGTTTTCTTTTGAAAAGAAGACTGCAATCTCATGCCCCTAATCCATTGGTTATACAATATAAATTAAATGCTGACACATTCATTGCTATTTGGCCATTATACGACAAAAGCCATGTTACATATTTTGGAACTACCAAGACACACAATTTTGTTACATGCACCCCACCCCATCCCACCCCACCCTATAAATTACATGCACAATATACAGCAACTGCACTTGACGAGTCTTAGCCGGTACATGTTAAATTGATGCAAAGCTCTGATCATCAAGTTGAAATATTCATTTGGTTATATGTCTCAATAGTTCGATTTATATAATATTATGATTTCAATTCTACCACTCTTCTAACTTAATTGATTTATTATGTAAAAACATGACGCTGATGAGATGTTGAAAACAATCGTTAATATTTTCTTTTAGATATTGAAAATATCCTTTTCGATCATTTTCTTTTAGAAGAATTTTCGAAGAAAAGTATTTCTGATCAACTTAAATAAAAACTCTTCCAGTCATATAAAATACTTTAAAAAAATTATTTTAAAGTATTCTTCTAGCGTTAGAAGTAATTTTCAACATTTCAAAAACTCTGCTGAACGGACTTTTAATCAATTTCATTGCATTTATTATTGTTGGTATCTGAGACAATTCTCAATCTTGTCAATATGACGTCAAACTAATTTCTTGTGATGCTATTGTGGGTTAAGTGCTACAATGACGAGATAGCATAGCTGTGACAACGAAAAAATTAGTTAACACAAAGATTCAATTTGCAAAAACCTCTAAATGATTCACACTAGATTTATAAAGGCACGAAGGAAGAGAAGAGAGAGAATAACTTGTGAGACCTTTGGTGCAGTATGTTGGAATTTTTTTTATCGGAAATTGGTTGTGATCAATTCTAAATGATTATTTAAGTGGAATTCGTTATTTGGTGAATGAGAAATTAAGTCAAATGTAAACCGCTTAAATATTGAAAATTATTGGAAAAATCGTATAGAATATTGTGGAATATTCTAGAAATATATGGAGGAAAAATGTGGCTTTTCGTATGAAAGATCATGACTTTTGGTATGGGTATAATTAATGTCCAATAATTATGAATTTCAAGAGTTGTGTCTCTTGGTATAGTTTTGTCTTTTGACATACCTTTCCAACTACTATATATATAGACCCCATGTGTTTGAATTTTATTCATTCAAGAAAAGTCATAGATACCATATCATTTCATTCCAATTTACACTTTGGTTTTGCATAAAACATTTGCATCAAAGTCACGGTCACGGTCACGATAGAGAAGGAATTCCGTGCAAATTCGCTGGTCGAAGTCATTTAGAGTGCTTCTATGGCTCCACATGGTCGTTGTATCTTGGGAGATGATTGCCTAAAAATCGTTAGCACCGATGCGGGGCAAATTCATCTTAAGGACAAAGTGTCCAACACTTACCTTGACCAAAAATTCATCACTTGCATCTTCATCTTCATCCTCATTTTCTGATTTCCTTTTATTATGATTTGATTTCAGAAAATGATTAATATAATTTATATATTTATATTGCAAGGTTCAATCGTTCAAGAATCGAAAGAGAAAGTTCCACATTCATATTCTTAATAATCGGTAAATTCTCATTTTGCCTTATTAAATCCAATTTCAGTAAGTTGGAATACGTTTCGTTTTCATGCAAATAAACGATATGTTTATTGTGAATATAATATACACAATTATCGGTGTAATTTTTCAACAATCTTTAGATAAATTTTGTGTTGTTGTGCATAAAATATTTTGTTAGAAATTGAAATATATATATATATATATATATATATATATCCGTATCACGTATTGGAATTTATGCATGTTCGACTAGCACTGTGCACGACATCATTTTAAACTGTTGTAATCTGGATCGGCTGGTCGGTTATATCTCTGAACAATGTGCTGGGACCTTTAACTCAATGAGTGTTTTGTGAATGAGAAATTTTGAGTGGGCCTTGTGCAAAACTAAATATTCTATTCATAAGTCTTTGAGTATACATTCTTTTGTTTTACGTTCGGAAATTTGATAAATTGCATATTCAAATAAATGAAATTTATTTGGGATGAAAACAGTTTATTATAATGCATCTTACGGGTTGTCTCCTCCAATTCTGATTTCGCATGTGAACCGATGCCTGTTGTCGCCTGCTCCTAATTACACTCCATGTGCCAATCGTATATTTGCATAAGTCTTTACATGTTACATGGAATAATTGCATGAAAAATAATTTAGATTTGAAATTGGGTTTAGAAAATAATGGATATATGTTGTTCAAAAGGCAATAAACTTGTGCGTGGAATGAAGAAGAGAACTGAAAATCCATAACAAATGTTTCTGCTTTAAATCCATTTATAATGAATTTGCTATTGGAAATTACCAAAGCCATATTTATTGATATTGATTATGTCAATTCATAATAAAGAATTCAGTTTTCTTTTTCGGTTAATTGGTGGAAGTTTAAAAAGTGAAACGAGAACATTTAAGTTGGCCATGATGACTGTTCAAATCCGACTTCAGTTTCCTTCATCTTTCCATGTGTAGTTTATCCTTATGCATGTGATGATTATTGCTCAATTTATATAATTTGCAAAGGAAGTCCACTGATGAGAGATTCAAATAATTAGTGATTTATGAGAAGAGAATTAAAATTTGTCTTACATGTGGGTATGTATCACAAGGCCACTTTTGCATTAAGATATTGTCTAATTTTTCTAGTGCTACTGTGAAACATTCAAATCCAGATTTGTGATGTGGATAATAGTCTCTTGATGTTCCGTGAGTACGGAAAATTATGTCCTCTCATTTCATAGCTGCCAAATAAGGTAGGCTGCTAAATACGGTAAGTTGGTAAGCTGCCAAATACAGTAAGCTTTCATATACGGTAAGCTGCCAAATATAGTAAGTTGGTAAGCTTCCATATACGATAAGTTGTATATACAGCATGCGTCAATCCGATAAGTGACATATACGGCATAAAGTTGTAAATCCGGTATATGTCAATAGATTTTGGTTTGAAAATTATACAAACATTGGTTAATGATGATAGTCTCAATTAATTCTATGAAATTAAATGAGATGACTTATGCAAAATTATAGTTGTATAAGAGTGCAACAAAATGTGGTTTTGTACTAATTATTTTAAAGTGGAAATTGCTTGCCCAATTATTGGGATATGAAAATATCTCATAGAGTACAAATGGTGTTTATAGTTGGCAGTGATGCCGGATATCCTTGAAAATAATGATTGTAAATTAACATTCATTTGTAAAGGATAAAACTATCTTATGGAGAAAAAAAATTGTGAAGAATATTATAAAATATTCTAAGATTAATTCCAAAAGGTATGTCCTTTTGTAATGGTGTGACTTTGAGAACACAACTTGTCAATTTATGGTTGATTAATTCATTCAAATGTGAATATGGTGAATAAGGTGAGATGTACCTTACTATTTGACGTGAATAATATTATTTGTGAAATATCACAAATGAGAAAGTTACACATATTTGAAGATGCCTTGTCTTCTTCCTTGTTGAATTTGACTTCAATCGTAGAACCAATTAAATTGGTATATGCTTTAAAAGCATTGTTGGTCTATGTGATGACCTTGATTACTTTGGATAGTCAAATTAATATGGTTGATTGAAGTACAATTTCGAATGGAAAATGATTTTCATTTATGTGAATCAACGACCACTAGTTTGAAAGTACTCAAACTTTCAAGAAGCACTCGATCTGGAGGTTATCTAAGTGATAAATGATTGAACTATGAAAGAGTTGATAAACTCTAAGTTTAAAAATAACCAAAAAAAAATGTGGGGGTTATCATAAATACTTGAGAACTTATGTAAAAAGTTCAAGACATGTGGGTGCTATACTACTACTTGCACATATATTCCTAATTTAGGAATTGTGGGGGCCAATTTATTGTAAAGATATACTTTTCTGTACCTCTCAAGAAAATGGAAGAGACTCCATATGAGTTATGGAAATGTCGTCCTCTTTCTTACCAACACTTAAAAGTGTGGGGGTGTTTGACAAAGGTTGAGTTTTATAAGCCTAAACAAACAAAGATTGGTCTCAATACGACTGATTGCATATTTATTAGATACGCCAATAATAGTAGTATCAGATGTACACGTGGGTACCATAATTGAGTTAAGGAATGCGATATTTTTTGAGAATATGTTTCCTTGCAATGACAAGAAAAATGTAAGAGCATATGAAACTTCAACTGGGTCTTCAAATGAGGAAGAACCAATGCGTAGTAAGAGGGCTAGAACGTCCACTTCATTTGGTTTGAATTTTCTCACATATATGGTAGAAAATTAACCAAAGACTTTTGAAGAAACAATGTCTATTCTGGAAGTACCGCATTAGAAGGAAGCTATCAATAGTGAGATAGATTCCATAATGTAAATTCATACATGGGAATTGGTAGATGTACTTCTCGAAAATAAGCCTTAGGGTGTAAAGGAATTAAAACCTGATGGATCCATTGACAAATATAAGG